TACAGAAACTTTAGGAATTTGAGTAAGGCTAAGGATAGCACAGAGAGCTGAGAGGAAGAAGTCATCGTGGGTGTTGCCGTAGGAGTGGTCAATCAGGACGATTTTAGAACGGTCAGAAACCTTGCTCTGCGTTTCAAGTCGTTTGTACAGAATTCAGGTAAAAGTCAGCTGAAAAAATTCAGTATTGCTTCTTTGCAGGATTTTTTTTGCTAATGAGAGATTTTTTAGCCTTCCACAGTGCTCTTTCCACCAGCTCTAGAAGAGGTATACTCCAAAGCTTCCTTTTGAGATGTTGTGACTTTAATTTTCGTAGCATAGAGCCCAGAGATCACGACATACGATAGAAAAAAAGGCACCCGAGCTGCTGTGAGCACTGGCCTCTATTTTATAGGATTTCTCCCAGACGCTTTCCCCTGATACACTGGAGCGCTGAGTTACACTGCGAGCAAGTGATAAATTGTTGCCTGGCGGAGATTTGAAGGGTTGAGTTTTCTGTGTCGGTTTTTCAGAAGCTTTTTGATAACCAACTTCCAGCCTTAATCATTGCTTAGCTGCCTGTGTAATTTTTGGATCTCCAGACATCCAAGTAACAAAAAAAAAAAAAAAAAAAACCCATACTGTGGCGTGACTCAGGCGTTAGGATAACTTAGTATTGCGATGAGCAGTTTCGGTGCAACTCACAGCAGTGAAATGTGGGAAAACTGTCAGGACACAGCAGCAAGAAGCACGGCCGAAGTCCTGAGTGGCAACAAAAGCACTTGCATTTTTCTCCCTCTGCCTTTAGTAAGGAAGTTTTGCGTTGGTTTGTATTCACGCTTCAGCCTGTGCAACCGGTTTGGCAATCAGATGTTCAGGAGAATTTCCTTAAAATGAAGGTCTTCATTTTGCGGTCAGGCATGGTATTTGTCCTGAATAGCATCCTGCTTTCTCTGGACAAGTGCTTTTTTTTTTTTTTTTGTCATGTGCTGCCTAAAAAGAAAAACGCTGAAAATCTTCACATGGTCTTATAATACAGGTCCCCAGCAGAGAAGAATAATGGCCTTTAAGAACAGTTTTAATTAGAGAGGGGTGTGTGTTTATGTGCATGTGTAGATATAAATGTAATATGTGTGTGTGTGTGTATATGTACACAATCTCTACTGGTATACCCAGTATTTTAAATAATATATGTATAACCTGGAACTGTATAAACCGAAGTCGTATAAAAGTCAGGTTTAAAGTCAAGTAAACTGAAACAGTGTTGTGTATATATAATACAGAAATGCAAAATTAAATTTCGAATTGCTCTATAGTCTCATGAGCTTTATTAGCTTGCAATAAACTTTTTTTGTGTCTTAGCTGTAAGCAGCTGGTATGAATTTATTAAACAATGTGTAACTCCTTTAAAATGTGTTTCTTGTCTTCTGGGGGTTTTTTTATTGGACTTTCGTTCTGCAGTATTTTATACTTTGGGTGTTTAGCCAGTAAGTGTCTGGCTTGAAATGAATGTCTGCTATAGTATTCCCCTGACGTATAAAAGGCAAGATATCCACTAGGATTTACTAATGTCTCCTATTTCTTTTTTATTTCTCTGTTCCAGAAGTTTGATTTTGACTAATGTTCAGGGCTTCTCGATCCATTGCTTTAAATTAAGGCCTGTGCATGTAGGACTGTGTTTTTGTTTATCTGGAAGGAGTCTCAGCATATCACCGTAGTAAGCGTAATTGGTTTAACCTGTTACTTCCCATGCGATTCAGAGCGTGCTTGTTTATCTGCACTAATCTGTCTCCTCTCACTTGTGTAAGGTTGTCTTTTTTTCGCCCTACCAAAGGAACGTGCTAAGCATTAGCGCCTTGGTACTTGAAAAAGTAAACCCTGAATTGACGTGCTGCAGTCAGGCTGGAGAAGCTTCTGCACCTCGGTGCGTCTCTTCTGCGCGCTCCCCGTGGGTGCCGAGCTGCAAACTCCCACGAGGGGTTGGCAGCACGAGAGCTCTTACCGAGTGTCCCGCGTTGCGGGTCGCCAATAGTAACGCCGTTGTTCTCCCCGCTGCCGCTGCCTCCCAGCCGATGGTGCCTGTGACGAAGAAATGTTTGTTTTCTTCTGCGCCGCGTTGATGACCCTTTTCTTTCAGGCCGTGTTCAGACGTTGCTTTTTAATCCATAACGTTTGCAAGACTGGACTTTTAATTCTCTTACTAGATAGCAGAAGCTGCCATCCAGTCTCGTCCTTGTTGTTTCTCAGCTGACTTCCTCCTCTTTGGCCTCGCTGTCCTCTGGGATTGGTTTATTAGTGGCGTCTCCTTCTCCTCGCTACTGCCGTGTGCAAGAATCTTCTTTGCATCCCTCAAGTTTCTTTTCCAGGGGACATGAAGGGCTTTGTATAAAAATTAGGAGGCGTGCTGTTTTTTCCTGAGTGTTCGGAAAGGGAGCTCCTCTAATGGTAGCAGTTCTGCGTTGGTTGATCTCTGGTGTTGCTTTTTAGGTTTAACTTCATGTTCCTACTTCTGTTGTCCGGTGTGTGAATAGCTGAAGTAACGTGTTTCTGTTCCATTGGATCTCTCGGTAGGCTCTGGCTCTTTTCTTTTATTACACTAAGCATTTTTTCAGGTTGCATTTGTCTAGTTGTTTTAACAGTTCCTTGCAGGTTATTTCTTTTAAGGATTTCTTCACGTTCTGTCCGCTGTTTGGACTGCGGGGGGTGCAGTAAAGGCAGAATAAGATCTTATTCTGTGTAATTTAAATTAGAGTAATTGCACACTGGATGTAAGAAAGGGAAGATGTAAAGCACATCCTGTTGAGAGGGCCTAAATCACAGAAGCTGAAAACCTCATGAAAACAAGATGACGTGTAATTGGCTAACAAGGTTATTAGAGATCTGCGTGGATGTGTAGCTGGACTAATTTTATTATCTGTAAATGAATAAAAATAATTCCCTTTGGGAAGGGAGGAAGTACACCATTATATGAACTGCAGACATCTTAGTATGTCTGACCTTGACAATATGGAAGGTGGTTTTCTTCTTTGGAAAAAGTTGAGCTGTATCTCTTTTACCACTTCACACTTGAATTAAGCTCCGTTAGAGAACAGTAGCGGTGCTTTATTTTCGGTTAATCTAGGAACTTTGGTCTAGACCTGTATAGGTTCTCAATTTACCTTTTAAAAAAAAGTTGTATTGTAGCTAGAAAGTAAGTGTTGGGGAGAGAGTGAAATAAGCAATACAACTTATTTTTGTAACTTCCCGAAGCGTAGTGGTGACTTTTGGATGCAGTGCTGGTCTACTCTTGCTGATAGCTGAGACCATGACTAAATGGATGCTGCTGGCTGAGGGCACACCAGTGTCAGCAGCACTGCTCGTTCTTTTTGCTGTAAAAATGACAGGCATTTGGAACCGCTATTCTGATGCAAATCATTTGGCTGCTAAGGTGATGCCTCTTCAGCATCCAAGTAATTTCCATGCTTTGGTTATGGTGAGGGTCATCCAAAATGCCCCCCCTCCCCTCTTCCCCCCAGCAGAACTGGAAGAGAGATTCTGCAGACTTAAATGCAGCTCGCAAAAGCAACCGTGCAGAGATTACGTTACATTTCTAGCTAGGTTTCCATTCCGTTTCCTCTTGCTGTCTCTCTGCAAAATCAGCTAGGCAATAATGTTTTGTCCACTGGCATATAGTCTCCCAGGGAGAAGCCTGGATTAGTTCTGCAAACTCTCCAAACATCGGAATAATCTTAAGAGACGAGATCGCCAGTTAAAATAAGTAGGGCTCTGAGGCATGCCGACAGTATGAGAGCACAAATGAGCTTCTTGAGAGAAGGCTTAGTGAAAGCTACTAGTTTAGGGTCTTAAATATCTGCAGACATTTTGGCACTCGACTGTAAATCGTTTTCCATCGTTTCCAAGTGTGAAGAAAGCACGCGTTTTTTTCAGAAGCACTCACCTACGTCTTTCAAATATGATTGTAGCCATGAGGTTGGAATTACTTGGCCTTAGTCCTTTTGACCACTTGTTTTTTTGTTATTGTGACGTTATTTCTTCCTCAATTAAGAATGTGAATCAATTTCATCCTCTTATTCTGGGACCGTAAGTATTGCCCATCCCATCTCGGTGACAGTGTTTTTATCTGATTGCTCTCGATGCTTGAAATGGGGTCACCAAAGTAAGACCAGATGCCTAGAGCCTTGTTAGATGCCAGCAGGGCTACACTTGCACGGGAGAAATCCCCCCCCGCCCTCCGTTAGTGTGAGCTTTGATTTATTTGGATAATCCTTTGGATTCTAGTGGGAATTTCCAGGTCTTAACTTTTATTTTAGTACCTGAATAAAATGCTTAAACTACATGTAAAATCCATGAATTATATCAGAGTTTATTGCTATATATTTAGTTTATTGCTTCTCTTTGATGCAGGGAAGTTAGAAAACGGTGATTGTCCTTTCCACTAAGTGGTACTGAATTTGCAGTAAAGACAGTACCTTGGCCTTATGTCAAAAATAACAGAAGTTAGAGCTGAAGGCCCCTCGTGTGACGTTGTATCTGCCTCTGCTTCCTTACCTCCTGCAGCATTGGGCTGTCTGCAGGGAAGAGGAGGGGGAGAGGTAGCACAGATGAAACCCTTTCACAGGGGGGCAACGCTGCGAGGGGACGTGATCCGTCAAACCGTGACAAGTGAGCGGTGGCATCGACTAATCACCCTCCTGGCACCAGCATGTGCGAACCCTTCTTGCTTACTAATAACCCCTTCTGGGGCAAGCCGCCGAGGCTGGGGACTTGTTCTTCCGTTTCATACTCCTAGCGTTCAAGTTAATCGGGTTAGTGTTAATGAAAAATCCAAGACCGCATACCCAAAAGGCCTGTGTGTTAAGCAGTGATCCTATTTTGTAAGCTTAATTTACATTTTGGATCCTATTCTGCTTTCAACCCGTTGTGCGTAAGAGTCACTTGCAGTCCGTGGTGCCTCCTCTGTTGTATTCAGCAACCAACTTTCTCTCCTGCTCCGTTGTGGGTGCCTCGCTGGGTGTTGGGTGCACATGGGGATGGATCTAGGGATTGATAAACGTGCAGGTATGCAACAGGTTATTTGAAGTGTAAAAGCAGGTTGGAAAAGTTTTTCTTTGTGGAGGACACTAAATAAATATCAAAGCATGACGTACAGTAACAGAAAATGATTTTAAGAAGAAGAGAGGGTGGAAACCCTGTTCCTCGTCCTGAAGCACGTGAACCTGCAGGCATTCTCAGTCTCACTTGTTTAGGGGGAAAACTTAATTTCAGCATTGTTTAACAGAATTGACAGGGACACACAGCCCAGTCTCATTAAAATACATGGTGTTGTCAGGGTTATTGCTGAGGATAAGTACCAAGCAGAGCTGAGAACAAAACGTAAGAGATGGTTTTGTGGGTTCTTCACTGGCAAAATGCTTGAACGCCCGTGGGCTCTCTCTCATTTTTCTATGGATTATGGCGACGGGCTGGCCTGGGTGGGCTCCGTCATGCCTCCGCACGAGTGCAGCGAGGGAGCTGCTGTGCACCGACGAAAAGGGCTGAAGCCAACCCAGAAGACGTGTGCACGAGTGTCTTCTCGCCGTGGCATGAGGTGGTAGCTCATGGTGGGTTTCAGAACCGGACCGAGAGGTATTTACTGCTGACCCTGGGACCTCTGAGCTGAGCGTTGCAGGCCTTGGCATTCACTACCATATAATATGTGTATATAGATGTATATATTTTTAAAGAACACTGTTTGAATGTGTGCTAAATAGGGCTAGGAAGAGCGTCGACGCCTGCCCCCTCCGGCCCTCTCTCCAAGGGAGATGAGAAGTGCGTCAAAGTTGGCTGGTCGACAGGAGAGATGTTAGTCGTCTCGCGGGATGCGATGGGAAACCTTACGAGTCGGTAGGTTTGGCAAGCACCCGAGATGAACTTGCAGCCGTCCTGAACTGCACGCTCTGCTGAATTGCGCTTCGTTGCCATTGGTTTTTGCTTCCCCTGGCGGGTGACGGGGTACAAGGGCTATTACCTTTGTACCCGTGAACAGAAACAGAAACCCGTTCTACTTTCCAAGTGCAATAATTTGGCTGCGCGAACTGGTTGGTCTAAAGTCTATACACAAGTTTGGGTAAGGATATGAGGACAAGTGTGAAGGAGAGGAGGTGGCCTATAACTCTGAAACGTGCTGCCTTTGCTTTCTACTTCTTTTGGATGGTTTTCCCCCTCGCGTGTTGTCTGTAATGATTACTGGTGCGCCGCTTGGGGCAGCGTGCGGGGGTACAGCCTTCTGGGTGAGGGCAGGGTTTCCTGGCCGGGGCGCGTGGCAAAATACCCTGCTAATCAAAAGGGTTGTTGCCCCTGAGCTAATTCTGAGCCCTGCCTGGCTTGGGGAAAACCTTGAGGTTATGTACAGGGCTGCTTCATAACCTCTTTTATAGCCGCTTGTGTCAGCGGTTTCCACTGCAAGCCCTGCATGAGGATCCTCATAACTCAGCCGGGTAAATTTGATCTGGACTTTAAAATGAGCACGTACGGTCTTGATTTGCAAGCAAGTGTTAAGGCTGGCTGGACAGCGTGTTGGCTCTGCGAATAATAGCGCCGGGAGGAATGTGATGCAGCTCTGGGTCTCCGTCGAGCGCCCAGGAAGCAAGCGCCCAGGAGCTGCGGGGTGGCCTCGGCGAGCTGCCGCTCCTCGAAGGATGGCGGGGCGCCGCAAAGCGCCCG